GCCGAGGTTGAAGAAGCAGGACGAGCTGGCGGGGTGCGGGGCCGAGGGGCCTGCCTGCTGCTTGGTGACCTGCGGGTGGCCCGAGGGGTTTTTTGCTTGAGACACGGGTGGGCTCCGGCGCAGTAGTGAGCCAGCCTGTTGCGCACATGCGGAGGTTGGGGTCTTGCGCCACGTTGGGGCACATCTATGTCTCTTTGGGAGTGGACGTGCATCGCCATCCGATTGCCTCAGCTTCTGATGGCCCCCTGTCTTCTGCCTACTCGACAATCTCAGGGTGGCCAAGGCCAACCGCTAAATGCTCAGGGCATGGAGGCGAACGGCGCGGTCGGCGGTGGGCGCGCGATCTGGCCGCTGGGCAGTGTGCTGTTGCCCCTGTGCGGCGGCGTGTGGCAAACAGCCGTGTAACCGTCGCAAACGCAACATGCGTATGGCAGCTGCGAGCAGGGCCTGATTAAAAGTGCAGATACGACGCTATCTTGACAAGTCAATACTTGCTGTCATCGGCGACCTTTGACCGCCGAATAGCTGTGTTCATACAAGCACAGGCACAAGCCTCTGAACCAACAAGCCGCAGGATGGGCAGCACGCCGGCTTTTTGTTGCTTGGCTTGGACCATCCAAACATGTTCAACACACCACAGTTGCATACAACCCAATGAGTACGTGTGTGCTCGCCGAAAGGAGACGTCAAGAACTTGAGAACCGATGCAAAGTCATGGGATGAGGCTGTATGGGGAGCCTTCAACAACGTGCACGCATTGGCTATCGTACTGTATGGCATTTGATCTGCACGCGTGGCACCCTTGACCGATCTGCACAAGTGAGGCCGGTAGTATACCGTACCAATATAAGGTGATTGGAATATTTTTTGGTTTTTCAATCCAGGATCCGCGGCCACAACACTGTTCATCACACAGCCGAATTTTCCAAGCGTTGATTGCCAATGGTGGCCCATGGAAGGGCCCTGCGACCGGAGAGGGCGTTTCAGGCGGATAGGAGATGTGTTTGGTCTCTGAGAACGGGCTCTGGGGTTGTGCGGGCTCCATGGCGTCCGGCAGTGGTGTGCGCCGCAGCCGTGCAGCAGGCACAGGAGCCTGCGTTGCATCCTCAGCAGCAGCAGAGCGCGGGCAGCAGTTTGAAGCGGCGTGATCTGCTGCAGTCTGCAGTGGCAGCGGCCGCCTGTGCGGCCGCTCTGCAGGTCACCACACCTACGGCCGCGCCTGCGGAGGTGTCGACGCCGCCGCCGCCCAAATTCATCACGACCCCCAGCGGCCTCAAGGCACGTGGCAATAGCCGTGACCCGACGTGCAGAGTGCTTCAATAACCCACCTGATTTGTTGATGCATCATAAGGCACTGCGGCTGTGGGTGGTCCTCAGCCTTGTCAGCAGTCACTGCTTTGTCACTACCACCTGGCACCAGCCATGGAGGACAGGAGCTCGCTTAGCCTCCCTACGACTTGACATCACATGCCCTGCTACCGTCGCGCAGTACGAGGACGTGCGCACGGGCGAGGGCGCCACACCCCGGCCCGGCGACAGGGTGGCTGTGCACTGGTGGGCGCTATGCTTGCCGCGGCGCTCGCCCCATTTGAGGCTCGGCGGCCCCGCTCAGACCGCGCGCTTGCGCCTGGGCTTGAGGCAGCTTCACTCGTCATGGAGTCCCACTCAGCAAAATCACTTTGCTGCACGCAATCTATGCGTTTGCTGAGCAGGTCTGGCTACACCAAGGGGTACCAAGGGAAGCGGATCGGGAACACCACTGTGAAGGACGTGCCCTACGAATTCGTGGTGGGATCTGGGCAGGTGGGCTGCGTTTCCGCGGAGACGCCTCGGGTCAGGCGGTGCGTGCGCACGGCTGAGGAGGGGCCGGGCGGTGCTGCGGGTGTCTTGGGTCGGCAGTGCTTGGGCAGGGCAGTGTGGCCTTGCCTCAGCCAACATTGCGCATGGCGCACATGCCCGGGGCACCCCAGCAGGATGTGCTGATGGGCCTGGTGGGCTTTGTTTCAGTGCAACCGCAAGTGCCGATTGCCCCTCCCCTGTGTAGGCCATTGCGGCATTTGAGGAGGCGGTGTCCACGATGAAAGTGGGAGGTGTGCCCCAGGGCGACTTCACGGGTGTGCGCGTATGAGCTGCCACCCACAGCGCGACCCTAACCCTTTGCAGCGGGCCGCCCAAAAAAGGCAGATGCACCACTACAGTCCGAGTGCACCCATGCTGCCCCCGTATGCAACAAAATGCGGTGGATGCGACTCTGGAAAGCTCCCCACGTTCTCCCGAGTGGGACCTTGTGAGTAATGTACGCACAGGCGGTCATGCGCATACCAGAACATGAACACACGTTACACATACACACACACACACACATACACACACACACACATTTTAGTACGCTCGTGCGCATGATGCTCTCGCACACTTTGCGCGCACGCACGCACGCACGCACACAGGCATCCGCCGCGTGGAGATCCCGGGTGCGCGGCCCGAGCTCGGCTACTCGCTCAACCGCGCCGAGCGGTTCACGGACGAGCTCATCAGCCCAGACCTGAAGATCTTCAAGTGAGGCATAGGCTTCGTCAAAGGCTGCGTTTGTGAGGCTCTCATGCATCATCCGCACAGGGGCTGAGGCTGAGGGGTTTGACAAGCCCGCCTTTGCATCAGCCAGACCCTTAGTGCCACAATGCAATTTTTCGGGAGTCGTGGGCGCCCAGCTTCCGGGTGCTGCCGGCCCCGACCCCGCTGCCGCTGAGTGCTGCGAACAGCTTCTGGCCCCACAGCGCATGCCTGGCCAGGCCTTGGCCTACGCATGCCTGCATGCACGCATGGGTGTGTGCTTGTGTTCGTGCCTGCGGGCGGGCGGGCGAGGGGCCAACTGTTGTGCCGCGCCGGCCACCTCGCAGGTACCGGAAGGGGCCGCAGCCTGATGAGCTCGGGGGTCAGAGGGCTCTGGACTTTGTGCTCGACAACTCGACCCTGCAGGCGAGGCCAACAGGGGCGCCATGGCGATCTGAAGTGATGACATGAGCGGACAAAGCACGCATCGGCTGCTGGGGCGCGTCCTTCAGGCGTGATTGCTGTGTGATAGGAAAGGCTCTGGCGCGTGATGCGCCTTGGAGGCCAAAGACTGGCGCGTGCCAAGCAGCAAGCAGGAGCGCTGCTTTGCTGGCGGCAGCTGCCCACGCATGAGCTTGCTGCGTGCTGCAATGGGTTGGCCGCTCTTCGCTGACTGGGTGCAAACCTCTGTCGCCCAACTGCCCAGGACTTCAACCGCGACCTGCTGTTTGACATCAAGCTGCTGAGCGTGTACAAGCGCTGACATCATGCTGACATCACCCTGGTGTCGCTCTCCCTTGTCTGCCTGGATCGTAGCTGCAACTGTCTCTCAAAAATTGCATGATCTGAGCAATGCAGCTGAGACTGCCCACACTCCGTGTGCGGGCGCGGTGTCACACGCGCTGATCCCAGGCATGGTAGCCGGCTGCTCATCCTTGAACCGGCCGACCAATGCACTCTGTGGTGCAACTTGCACGCCAACAATGTAATCTTGTCCCTACTTTTGGAATTTGCTTGCATCGAAGTGACCTGTGATACCAATATCAGTTCATTTAAAACTCGACCGTGTCAGCACCCCAGCACTGAAAGAACAGGCTGATACAAGAGTGTTCAGCGTGCACATGCCCGTGAAAGCATGCAGTAGCAATTAATTGCCATGCCACTGCAACGCGGGCGCATTGGGGGCGAAGGGGTTGCAGTGACACTTGCATGCACCTAGGCTGCGCCTGGGACCAAATTCAATAGCAAACCGAGCCCCCCTTGTTTGCGACAGGGCAGGAAGCTATGACCCGCAGTCCAAAAGGGCCTGGGTGTCGCAGCGGCCGCGCCCGCATCGTTCTGCCTCGTCCAACCGCCGTCTACCACTTCAACGCACCACTGCTGCTGCCTTGCACGTCACACGTAGTGCTCTCGCGCCCGCACATTCCCCTGCGGCGCGGCCTCCACCGCCCTCGGCTCCTCGAACACCCACAGGCCGATCCCAATCCCGCCGCCGCGCCGCGCGCCGCCACCTCGCCCCTAGTCGGTGGCCCCCGCGCCGCCAGGGACCCTCAGGCGCCGCCGCCGGCGGCGGCTGGTGTCCCTGTGATGTATCCCCATATGCCGCTGCCCTTGCGGCCCTCCGAGTCCATCTTGCGGTAGCGCCCCAGCTCGCGCTCCAGGTCGCCGACCTGACAGGGGCGGTTGTAGGCGGTTGTCGGCGGTTATTGGCGGGTGTCGGCGGTTGTGAGCAAGCGCGAGACGGACGCCGCGATTGCTTGGATTGCTTGATCCCGGCTGCTGATGCTGCCAGTTGGGTGTGTGTGCAGGGGTTTGGAGAGCTGCATGCAAGCATGAACACACGCACGCGTGCCGAGTGCCAGAGTGGCATGCCCTGGGGGTCAGCGGCTGTTCCAAGCGGGGGCGCGTGGC